GTCTGCTGCCTCAACCTCCTGAGTAGCTGGGACTATAGGCAGCTGGGGTTTCACTATGTGAGACAGGCTGGCCTGGATCTCCTGATCTTGTGATTTGCCCACCTCGGCCTCCCAAAGTGCTGTGATTACAGGCATAAGCCACTGTGCCCAGCCTCATATCACACTTTTAAGACTGGGGTTTTGGGAACAAGTACAGGTGACTACACTATGGCTCCTGCTTTTGGTTTCTGTCCTTTTCTCTGACTCAGGAATCTCATGTTTTCTGTCAACATACATGAACATGAGGCAAGCTAACAGGGTTTTATTAGCTTACAAGGAAGATAAAAATCTCAGACCCTTTACAGTTCTTGAAAATATATAGAAAATACAATTAAATTTTTACTAGTCTTGTATCTTGTAACTTTGAGAAACTCACTTATCATTTCTGGAAGCTTTTTGGTTGAAGGCAAAACTATCTCTTTCTACATAGACAATTATGTCCATGGAACCATTTTACTACTGTTTTATATCAGTCATGTTGTCTAAATACAGCTTTCTTTCCTTCCAATCTGGATTATTTTTATTTATTTCACTAGATAAAACTTGTTACAATGTTGAACAGACTTGAAATAAACATTTGTCTTCTTCCTGATCTTAGGGGATATGCAAGATATTGTGAATTTTGCCTTTTTAGGTCAATATCTCTGAATCCCTATAAATATTCTTGAGCTTTGTTCTAGACTGTTATTTGGAAACCATTTGATGGCTTCAGGTCTTACTTTGAAGATTTGCTAAGTAGAATTCAAACAGGGATATTTCTAGGGTAATTATTCCCCACCATTGAGGCAAGGCCCTTTTCAATACTCTATCCAATGCCTATGAACAGGTTGTTGGGGGAAGCAGGTACTGTTGGCCCTCTTTGAATGTCAGGTACTGCTCTTTTTATTCACAGTGATTGATTCATTTTCTAGATTTGAGCAGTTTCCTTATAGACATGAGCTGACCAATACTCTCTCCAATGCATATGGGGTCCATCTGCTAATCTCCGGCCCTCACTCTTGTGTAGTTCTCTCCTCTGTGTTACTGTCTCCTTTGCACTGAAGTCACCTTGTTCTCCCTGAATTGTCATCTCTGTCTCCTCTACTCAGAAAGTCTCTGAGCTCTGCCTGTGTTCCCCTACCTTGTGCCACAGCCTGTAAATTATTCAGATGGGAAGCTGTGGCAATTTCAGGGCTCATCTCCCTTTATTTCCTGACTCTCAGGATTCAGTGTCCTGTTTCTTGATGCCCAGTGTCTCCGAAAATCATGCTTTTAAATACTTTGCCCATTTTTTATTTGTTTCAGGAGGAAAGATATTTCTGATTCCTATTATTACATCTTGAATGGAAGCAGAATCCACCATTTTATTATACTGTCACATAATATATTACATTATATTCTGATATAGCATATTTTAACATATCAAAAAGCTAAGATTATGTTCAGAATATAGAATTGGACACATATATAAAGGACAAGTTTTTATGTTTTTATAATTTATGTACTGACAACTCCCACTCATATGATATACATGTACACATATAATTTGGCTAAAGTTCAAAAAATATCTGAATTACACCAAAATATAAATTTTAATTGTATCTAATGGCTTCTTATTCTTCTTAAGATTTATAAAATTTCAAATGAATAGATTTTATGCTTATGTTTATATTACTAACACAATAGTTATATTTAATAACCAAACACTCATTTATACACATAGTTGAATCTACATCTTCAAATTCTTATGCAAAATGAAAACAAGGTTAATACCCAGTACCTTTAGGAAATACATAAATACATTTATATCCAAACATAGACTTTAGTTAAATAGGGGAATAAAAGACAAAGATACTCAAATATATCATAATTTTCTAGCACAGATTAGAAGAAGAAAATACATAAAAGATGATCTCTGTAAAGAGAGAGAAGGGGAAAACAAAGAGAAATAATGTAAGGCATAGAGGCTAAATAAAAGAGTAAATTAAAGAAGAATAACATCTAAATCACTAGTAACAATAGTCTAATACTGTCTAATATGGCTTGCAGAGGTTGAAACCAAATTGGGGCTTGAATCTTATTCTTGGTTCATTCAATCAATCTTTGTCAAGCGTTTACTATATTCCAGGTATTGTTTAAGACAACAAACTATGACAATGGCCTGCTTCTGCACAGCCCATGATATAAGAATAGTTTTTACGTTTTTAAAAGTTAGAACACAACACAAAACAAAGAAAGGTATATAATAGACACCATATGGGTGGCAAAGCCTAAAATATTTGCTATTTTGTCATTACATAAAAAGTCTGTCAAAGCCCAGTTTAAGATATTGGGAAAAAGACAGTGTACAAAAAAAAAAAAGAATACTTATCCTTTATGGGATTGATAGTCTAGTGAGAAAGATAAACAATTAAAATATATAGCTTGCCAGACGGTTTGTCACGAGTTAAGCATAAGCAGGGAAGGGGATCAACTGCTAGCAAAGGGGCAGCAACTACCTCACGGCCCATAGAGCAAACTGGAGTAACAATGTGGGATGAGGAATGACGTAGGTTTCTGGTCTTTTGACCAGATAAGGGGCATAAAGAGTGTGTCAAGGAGAAATATTTTGATTGTGATTGTTGTGGTGAGGGTAGTGGAGGGGGTCATTTCACATCAGAAGCCCAGGGTGCTGGGACTGTCACTCCTCTCCTGCCAGTCGTGAGGTAGAGACTAGGGAAGAGTGTGGTCTCACTAGGAACACCTAGAATTTGACTGTTTCTGGATAATCAATGCTATATTGAGCGGGAGAGCTACAGGTCATCGCTGGGCTTTGAGAGGGCTTATTTGAAGGTGGTGGTGAGAGTAAACTCGAGGAAAAAGCCACCACAGCACGGTCCTCAAGGTGACAAAATTTATAAGAGTAGGCATTTTCTGAGGCTGGCAACGTACCAGAAGAGACCACTGACAAGCTCAACATTCTGGAGGTGACATAAGTCTGGGACAAAAGATGAAGTGATGGCTGTTGTAAGCACCATAGCATAGGAAACACCATACTGAGTCAAGTCAGTATTCAGTGATATTGCTTTTACTGAAATGTTTACTGAGAACCTACTATGCACCCATCACTTTTAGAAACTGAAAATAAAATGACACATAGGAAAATATAAACAAGTTCCACCTCTCATGCAATTTCCATTTGAATGGTATGGGTAATTTCAATTTTTTACAAATGCTTTGTGCAAGTTAGAAGGTACTACTTACATAGAGTGGGCAGGGAGGGCACTGGAGGACAAGCTTTTATGCTGGCTGTTGAAAGATGAAAAGGAGCTAGCCATGCCACAAGAGAGTGAGGAGCGGCAAATCGAATAAAAGTGAGAAGGCCCCGAGGCAATAAAGAGCTGTCAGAACAGGAATTTATGACTGTGGCAGTTTCTCCTCAGGCAGTTTTGTCAGAAGGCACTACTGGTTCTGTGAGGAGACAGAGCCTCCTGGGACAGTCTCCAAGTGGAAGGCTTGTCGGGACTTAACCTGCCCTTCTTTTTGTTGTTGCTACTCATGGGACCCAGGAAGGGTGTAGGAGAGGGGAATACCCCTCCAATATCATGTCGCTAAGATTCACAGCCTTTAGGTGGTATCCTTGCGTTGTCCATAGTGGTGTGGTGCATGCTCACTTTTTTTAATATGCTTATTATAGACGCAGGAAGGCAAGAAAATTAGCAGCAATCTTACCAGCAGCAACAATAGCTGGCATTTACTGAGGGCTTGTACGTGCCAGGCTCTTCACATGTAGTAATTAATTTAGTCCTCAAAATAATTCTGAGATGGGGAATAATACAAATGTCTTTTTTTTCAGATGGGGAGACTGAGGTGAAGAGACCTGAGTAGGTTGTTTAGTTCATAGAGCTGGTGTTTAAAGTTGGCAACATGGCCATAGAATTATCATGTTCTTACAGCTAATGTACTGAACTGCCTCTTTTATTGAGGAGCAATCTGTAAAGATAAAGTCCAGGTGTATACTTTCATTTTATATAGGTAGTTTGAGCCTTACTTTAAATATTACAAGTGTTTCCCAAATTCCATGTTTTCATTACCCTCATCATTGCTATGAATTATTTTAGGTTGATTCTGATAATAATTGCTTTTTGAGGGATTAAGATCCCCCTTTTCCTTCCTTTGGGCTCTAGTCCTGTATAAGCTTATTTTCAGGCCTTTAGGCTCTTGGGTAATATGTTCAATCATGTACTTTTACACTCGAGTTCTTCTCAGCTTCAGCTCAAATACATTCCCTTCACAATTCCCTCAGTCCTCCAGCTCAATCTGTCTCTTGTCTCTGTGTTTTCCTCCACAGATTTAAGATCAGTTGTTTTGAATATTAACAAGTTTTGAGGATAAAATAATAGGCAATTGACTAAATTCACTTCATCAGGTAATCTCACTTTTGCATGCCAGACAGTTGGTAGTAATTGTGAGATTAAAATTTGGCAGTCAGATACATAACAGACAATACATTTAATGATACTGATAAGTGGATAATTCTAAATTTTTCTTGCCTTTACTTCTCAGTTTACTAGAATCTGTTTACATAAACTGATTAAATCAAGTAAAATTTCAGAGATTACATGTGAAAATGGGAGTGTAACAGATTTTATTGCCTAAAACCCACAAGCAACTCCAAATACTCCAAACAAACAAACAAGCAAATCTTTAGTAAGTGGAGTAATGGCTATTTATGTATTAATTAATTTTTTGGTACTTTTAAGTCAAATCTAAAAGTTCTAAGAGAAAGAATATCTCTTAAATCTGACATGAGACTACCATATGAGAACAAATAAAATAAAAATTGAAAATTATTTTTATTTCAATTATATTTCTAGTCAACATACTTTATTTCATTAAATCCATTAGCTATCTAATCTCACCTAATCAATTCTGTGTGTACCACAGGGACCTATACAAAATGACTAAAATACAACATAGCCAGATATGGAAAACATCCTTACCTTTAAAGAACACAAAATTCCCGTCGCTATTTTCATAAACTGCATCGATACTAGGAGGCAAGCCCCTCCAGAAGTAAGTAATTTGCATTGGGTATCCATCCATCACCCTGTTGTTTCTCACTCGCCAAAACCACTGGTCCTGCAAACCAAGCAAAGGCATCTCTCAGCAAGCACGTAGGCCTCCCTGGCATTTCACAATGCAATGGCTGGATGCTTTTGAAATTAAGCTGGTTTACTTATTATTGTCTTACATTAAATCAGTCAAAGAAAGATCTACACAACTTAACCACAATGATAACAAAAATTTCTGTAGTAAACTCCTTAATCTTTAAGCCATACAGTGTGATTACAAATATAATGTCAACATACTTAATCTTGTCATTTTACATTATCTCCAAGGATTTCTAGATGGAGGGAGCACAGATAAGTCCCTGCCAGATTTGTGGCTATGTCAGCTTCTTGAATATGAGATCAGTGCTAGGGTCATGCATGCTTCCTAGCATTTTTAGATATATGCAAGATCACCATACCTACAATGCTGAGGATGAAATAGAGTCCATACCTGTCTGTGTTCACCTGTTATGCCTATTTTCTTAAATAGTTATAAAGTAGAGCCCTCTTTCATCATTAAATGTATTTTTGGCTGAAAAATTTATGCACAAAAAACAAGCAAAATTATTTTGAAAAAAAAAAATATTTTAAAATCATTATAAGAGTATCCAGAAACATAAAATATTTAGGTATAAATTTAACAAAATATGTGCAAGGTTTATACGAAAAAAAAAAAAAAAAAAAAAAGTCATCACCAAATGGATACTGATAAAGAAATAACTGATCATGAGTATATATGGAACAATGAAACAGAAAGCTCTCCAAGCTGAAGAATGGGAAGAAATCTGGTGAAAAAAAACCTGGACCACATTCTGATTTTTCCCGCAAAAGCCCTTCCCATTGCTATAATCTCACTACATATGGGGCCGGGCCAGTGGCTCTATGGGACAGACACATGTTGCAGTCTGCAGATAGGAATACAAGCCCAACTTGCCACTAATAAGGGGGGAAATGAAAGTTCTGCCTCAAGATAAGCATAGTTAATTTGCAAAAACTCAGGTGGTCATGTGAAACTGCAGATGAATTCTACTAGCTTTTGTTGACAGCCTTGGCAGAGAGTCACATAAATTATAGATATTCAGGTTGTGCCTCTATTCAACTTATCTTCAGTTTAGCAGAGAGCAATGGTACAAATAATTTAGAAAGCATTCTGTCACAGTGGATATAAACTCATGCCATCGTTACTATAGATTGCCATTTCAGAAACAGAGATTGTGAACACTTCATAGAGAAAGGATACTTAAAATGGTATTTAGGTCTCTGTGAGAATTTTCCTTATAAGTGAGACATTCTCTGACCATCTTATCTAAAACTGAAGTCCCTCACTGCACTCACAGAGGTCTGCTGGGTCTCTTCACCTCCCTTTCCTGTTGTATTTTCCTTCATTACATTTATTGTTGTTTTATATAATGCTTGTTTTACTAATTTATTATTAGTTCTCTCTCCACTAAGTCTATAAGCTCTCTGATGGCAAGAATGTTGGTCTTTTGTTTACATATGGCTCCATATTTCCAGAAAAAGACCTTAAACATAATAGGTGGACAATAAATATTTATTTAAAGAAAACAAAATGTAAAGAGAAAAGAGCAAAGTGACAGTAATGATCATTTTAGAAGCCAAAGCTTTAAAATTAAGTCTCAGTTTTTTTCTCTGTTGTGGTCCAGATGATATCTTATTTAAAAAATATAAAAGCTATGAAGGGATCATAAGAACATAAAAATTATATTTGAATAGGTAGATGTTTAGCACATATTCTGCTTTCCAGAAAAGTATAATATTTAAAGGTCTTTGAACAATCAAGAAAATACATTTGTTTTCAGCCTTCTAAACAATATAAGTTTGGTTTTCGTTTTAGGTGGGGAAGAAAAGAAACATAATTAACGCTTAGGGAGCTCTAAATCTGCTATTTGTGTGTTGCCTCAAGCTTCTTATCTCCTTCTTTCCTTCCTCCTTCCCTTGCCTTCCTTCTTCCCTCTCTAGCTCTCTCCCTTTCTCCCTTTCTTCCCTCCCTCTTTGTTTTCTCTCATTCTCTCTCTCTCTCTCTTTTTGCTACAGCCCCTATAGAAGGAGGTGGAAGGGGACATAATAATCATAACTAGCCTTTGGGAGGCTGAGGTCGATGGATCACACGGTAAGGAGATCCATACCACCCTGGCCAACATGATGAAACCCTGTCTTTATTAAAAATGCAAAAATTAGCTGAGTGTGGTGTCACACGCCTGTAATCCCAGCTATTTGGGAGGCTGAGGCAGGGGAATCGCTTGAACCAGGGAGGTAGAAGTTGTTGCAGTGAGCCGTGACTGCACCACTGCACTCCAGCCTGATGACAGAGTGAGACTATCTCAAAAAAAGAAAAAAAAACATAGCTATCCTATCTGCAAAGTCAACCTGTGGAAAAAGGAGTACTTAAACATTACCAAACTGGAGTTTTACTTAAACACTAATATTTCCCTTAAGATACAAGCACTTATGGTCTTATATGTAGATTTATTTTCCATGTAGCAGTAACATATGGGGAAATTCTGTTTATTATTCTTTTACACCCTTTAAAATTCTGGCTCATGACAGGCATGTTTGCTGAGAACTATATAGAAAAGGCCTACTGTCTAAATATGAAATGATGATGTTAATGATCTACCATCAATTGAAGCTGCTGTTTTCAAGATCCTTTTAAAAAACTAATCAGCTGAGGCAGGAGAATCGCTTGATCCCAGAAGGCAGAGGATGCAGTGAACCGAGATGGCGCTGGTACACCCCACCAACCTCAGAGACAGAGCGATACTCCATTTCAAGACCAACCAACCAAACAACAACAAAAACAAAAAAACGAATCAGTAGAACTGATCTACTTTCACTTCTCTTCTGAATATACAGACTCATATATTTAACCAACAACGTTACATAAATCTACAAATGTGTCACGTGTTCAAACTGAACATTTCTAGCAGTCATCAGTTCTTTGGCTCCTCCTCTGACAAGCCACTTCGGTCCTGCTCTGTCTAGTCTTCCTTCTTTCTGAAACAGCATATCAAATCTCTTTATTTCTCACCATCACCACTGTCACCATCCAAGTCCCAGCTGCCACTGTATTTCACTGAGATGACTGCAATGCCAATGCAAAGCCTCTGCTTTGCCTCCTACTGCATCTAGAATGAAATTCAAACTTGGACTCCTGCCTCCAGCTCCTACGCAGCTCCCAGCAGTCTCTCTTGTGCTCACATTGCTCCAGTTATATCAGCTTCCTTTCAGCTGCTTGACAGAGGAAAGCTCTTTTCTTCCTTAAGACACCTTGCAGGCAGTTTGCCCTACAGTAGGCCCTCCAGTTCTGTGGTTTCGCTTTCCACAGTTTCAGTTACCTGTGGTCAACCCTAGTCCAAAAATAGGTAAGTCCAGTACAATAAGGTATTTTGAGAGAGAGGCCACATACACAAAACTTTTATTACAGTATTTTGCTGTAATTGCTTTCTTTGTTAGTTATTGTTAATCTTGTTATGTGCCTAATTTAGATATTAAACTTTATCATAGGTATGTGTATGTACAGGTAAAAACATAGTGTATATAGGGTCTGGTAGTATCTGTAGGTTGAAGCATTCACTGGGGGTCTTGGAACATAACCTGGATAAGAGCGGGCTACTGCACTTTAAATGTTCTTCCTTTCCCATCAATTTAACCACAAATCATCCATTAGTTATCAGCTGAAATATTATCCCATAAAAAGGGCTTGGCTGCCCTCTGAAATTAGGTAATACTATGCTATGATCTTAATGTTTGTGTCCTCTCAAATTCATATGCTGAAATCCTAACCCCCAAGGTATTAGGAGGTGGTGCCTTTGGGAGTGATTATGTCTGAAAGACAGAACCCAAATAAATGAGGTTACTGCCTTCATAAAAGAGGACCTAGAGAGCTGCACTGCCCCCTCCACTGTGTGAGAACACTGCTAGAAGTTACCATTTATGAAAAGTGGGTCCTCACCAGACATGGAATTAGCTAGTGCCTTGACCTTATACTTCCCAGCCTCCAGAAATGTGGAGAATAATTTTCTGCCGTTCCTAAACTGCCTAGTTTACGGTGTTCTGTTATAGCATATCCTAATGAACTAAGACATTCTCTTATAGTATCCCATAGTACTCTGCACTTTGACTTCACAGCACTTACACAATATGTTACTACATCATTGTATTTGTGACGTAATTTCTTCCACGTGCTCCACTGTGTGATGTGCTCCACAGGAATGGGGGCCGTGTGTATTTTCCTTATCACTGGATTACCAGCATGGAGAACTGTGTCTGGTGTATTGTAGGACTCTAACACATTTACTGGACAAATTTCCCAATTTTTTCACCAAATTGTCATAGGATGAGTACATATATCTGAGATTGTTTAAAGCAAGGTAGCTGTTTAATATGAGTATTAAGCTTATTTATTAAGATGGCATTCTAACCAAGTGAACTCACTAGATATGAAAAAATTAGAAAAACATTTATGTCTATAAATACATGTTAGCTCACAAACAATCATGTGTTTCATTTATTTATTTATTTAGAGGCAGAGTCTTGCTCTGTTGCCCTGGCTGGAGTGCAGTGGCACCATCTCAGCTCACTGCAACCTCTGCCTCCTAGGTTCAAGCAATTCTCCTGCCTCAGCCTCCTAAGTGGCTGGGACCACAGACATCTGCCACCACGCCCAGTTAATTTTTGTATTTTCAGTAGAGATGGGGTTTCATCATTTGGTTAGGCTGGTCTTGTGCTCCTGACCTCAAGTGATCCACCCGCCTTGGCTTTCTAAAGTGCTGGGATTACAGGCGTGAGCCACTGTGCCTGGCCATGTGTTGTGTTTTGAAGGCTTCTGATGTGAGCAATCCTGAGGGTCTGGGAAAACTGGTGTTGACAATTAAACTGGTTCCTAAGAAAAAAATTGGGTATGCAACAATAGTGAAAGAAATACAAAATTATGGCAACTATATATGTAATGAGGAAGGTGATTTATATGTATGCTTAAAAGGCAGAGAAAGAAATGGTGGTCTTCCA